GTAATTACCGTTAAAAATTTTGAAATTTCCGTTTTTATTTAAATAATAAAGTCATTTTTTTGTATATAATTTTATTACTATATAATAAGAGTTCTCTAAATAAATTTAGACGTCAAGATAATGGGTGTTTAAACGTTAGAAATAATTTATTATATACAATCAAAGTACATACGTACATACATGTGTACACAGATATGTATTTATATCAAATAGAAATCTAGGTGAGAATATAACTTTTCTGAACTTTTGTTTGGATTTTCTTAAAGCAAGGACATTTATTGTTTGCATGGACGCACGGACATCCGGCATTCAATTTGTCTCGCAATCCTGGAAATTTTATTAGTTATGATTATGTAGGTATAATATATTTATATAATAATATATCTCGATAAGTTTAAGCTGTTACAAACAACTGTTAGATGATTGAAGCTTTTTAATTTTCATAATCCTTCCAAATAAGGGTCCTGGGGGTCCTGTCGAGTCATTCCTTGAAGTTTATACATAGAAAATAGTATATGGATACTAAATCTGTAAAATGTTCTTCTCTAGAGCACGATCCCCAACTTAATTGAATTCTGAATAACATTAGCTACCCATTATTTTAACCTATTGAAGGAAATCGCTGTTTCGTAGTAATAGTGTTTTTTTTTACAGACACTTGGTTTTCAAAAAGACATAAAAGGCATTTATAATTATGTTTTAAAAATTATTTCGGGCAAGTGACCAGCACGAGCTTCCATCCGAGAGGCTCAATTTTCGACCACTTTTTCGTTTAGGGCTTGTCTGCGTAGACAAGCGACCTCAAATAACCCCATAAAAAATAGTCCAGCGGTGTTAAATCGTCTGATCTTGAAGGCCACGCCAGAGGCCGACTTCGCGAGGTAATGTACTCACCAAAAGTTACCTTCAATAAATTGATTGTTTTGTCGGCAGTATGGCATGCAGCGGCGTCTTGATGGAACAATAGGTCGTCCACAACAGCATCATCCAATCATCGTCATGGCTCTACAGCATTCCCCATTGACTGTAACATTATGGCCGGCTTCATTTTTGAAGAAATTTGAACCCAAGATTCTCTCTACCCATAGAGCACACCAAACAGAGACTTTTTGAGGATGTAACGGCGTGGATTATCATCGCTAAAGCATTGCGAAGACTTTGAGACCACCCTAGCCAATTAATTAAGCACCACACGTCTAAATGGAAATTCCATTACTAGAAATTCCCCTTAAAAATATAAACGATTATATGCTTTACCAAATATACATGTCAATCGCTATGCGTCAGAAGCTAAATCCATGTTCGTTACTTCCCAAGTCAACAAAGCACATTGAGAAAACGACATTTTACATAATTATGCATTTATTATAAATTTTTTAAATATTTTTTTGTTAGACTTACGCGGTTTTATAAATAAATATTTCTATATAAAATGTACATTGACTAAGCTTTTGGATTGTCGGCATGATGAATTATCAAGTGACACCAATTGAGTGCGAATATGTGAGCGAATACTTCTCTGTGTTCGGATCGCCGTACAAGAGAGGCATGCCATTTATTTTCATATGTGTAGATACATATGTATAAGTTGAGAACTAACTTGAGTTAAAATTGTGACAGCTGCTGATGCCTGTAAATTTAACGAAAACAAATGACTAACTGACAGCTCGACACAACGGCAAACAGAATTGTGTGTAGGTAATATTTACAGTTACTCTCATAAGTGCCTTATAAAATAGCATATCTAGTCTACTTAGATTCACTGAGAACATCAGAGGATACTACGGTGATAATGAGTTTTTTCACTCTGAAACAAATTAGATCACTTTAGATTATTCTTCTTCTTGTAGATATGATGTTAAAAGTTTTCCATAACGGAATGACAACAGCCTTTGCATTTAGAAGGTCAGCAGTTTGAAAATTCAGTTTAAAAAAATCGCCAGTGCTGATAAGAAAATTTGAGAGTTCATACTCGATATGGTACAAAATTTTACTTATAATATCGATAGAGCATTCTTATAGTGATATAAGTTTAAAATCCTAAAAACTATTTTTCTTAAGTTTTCACGTTTCAAAACTAGATTTCGACCTTTAGCCATGTGAGTTTGGGCTCACATCTTTCAAATAGTGTAACTTTATTACATAAAATTCAGATAGTTGTCCCAAAACTTCGAACCCAAAGGAAATGAAAAAATGAAAGACTTCCCGTGCCTACACTTCCCAAAACGTCAACTTAACCTCCCCGTACTATTACATGTTCAATACGAACAAGGCTCTGACAACCGAAACAGCGGTATAACCATATAAGCAGCTAGGAGTAAAACTCGAAACCGAAATAAACAAAGATACGATTAATTATGAAACCTGTTATTAGCAATTTTAATATCCTCTAAAATTTTAGTCAATAACTACCAATCTGAGGATAAATGTGAGAACCTGAGAACACGATGAAAAAAAAATTCGACGTCGAGCATACATTTATGAGATCATGAAAATTATAAGGTCCCTATTGCCTAAATTCTATCAGATTCTGAAATAATAAGTTTGGTTAACGTGGAGAATGCAAATGTTATTGTAACATACTGAGCTGGGTCGAATTCCAGCACTCTTCAACTGCTACTGAATGGGTGGTAATCTACGCAGTATACCCGAAGAGTACTCTTATAGCTTACTTACATTCATTCATATCTCGGAGATAGATGCCCGTTGAGGTGACATCAAATCAATTTACTCTTTGTAGGTTAGGTGAGTCGCAGGGGAGAATGGTTAAGGGAATTCAAGTTTGATAGCAACAATATAAAGTACAAAACAAGTTAACTGTAATAAAAACAATCAAATGTGCTTGAAATGATAAGATAAGATAGCATAGGCATACAATGTGTATGTGACGGCTTGACAGGCGTGATTATTTTAAAATAGGGTTTACTTGTTCCCTTGGACATAAATAACAACAATAATAGATTTTGATATTTTGACAATGCTTGAATTTCATAACATCGAGAGCAGACCTGCCTTCTCCTCTTAGAGTGGCCATGCCACATACTCACGATTTTTGGTAACGCGTTTACATTCCTTAAATTTACTGTTTTGATGGCTGTATGGCATGTACCGTCTTGTTGGAACCAAAGGTCGTCCACAATAGATCATCCAATTCAGGCACGAAAAATTCATTAATCATGACTCACTTTTGAAGCTTGCCCATAGAGCTTATCAAACAGTAACTTTTTAAGAATGTAACGGCGTCTCCACAATGCCTTGTGGATTATCATCACTCTAAATGCGACAATTTGGTTTATTAACGCAAACATTCAACCAAATTCGAAATAGTGAAGCTCTATATATAAATCTTTGAGGTTATTTTGGCTTCTGTAGTTTCCTTTTTAGAAAATCATACAACTTTGAGACCTTTCATTAGACAACGACATATAGTTTTATTGTTATCGTAACCTTATAATGAGACTTCAATGAACATACTATCGTTCAGATTAAAAATACCGGGTCTGGTGTTGAAAATGACGTTTTCGTCTGGAATATATTGTTTATGAATATGACGCTCAACGAATTTACAATAACAATTAATAGATATAATGTTAAAACTTGACGGTCGCAACATGTGAGGCGGACGATATTTTAAACTGTTAGTTAGTTGGGTTAGGTTAGGTTATACTGGCCGGTTGTCATGCCATACATAGATCTACTGGTCTTGCCAGATGTAGGTTCCATTTAATTTGAAGTATCCATCACATAGGACGTCAACGCTTTTTGCGGACTTTAAGAGCGACTTGTTATTTAATTTTTATTCTTCATCTAGTCCCATGAATTGCGTAGCTCCTAGACATCTTAAACGCGTTTTAGATAATGCTGGAAAGAAGCATAGGAGGTGTTCCAGCGTCTCTCTCACGCCTACTCCCCTGCACTTTCTGCATGTATCGTCGTTACTAATGCCCGTACGAGTCGCATGTGATGCCAGTAGGTTGTGTCCTGTCATTGGGTCAACAAACGTCCTTTCCAGACCGTGTGAGTAAATTGCATGCGTGTTTTCCTTCAAGGCTCTTGTACAGGATTTTGGCAATCCTGCCTCCCTGCCTCTAAGGACATTATCTGAAGTAATGCGATGTGAGATTATTGCCTTAATTGCCTGGCTATCGACGTATGTATATATTGATCTTCTTTATGTTGTTTCCTGCGTTGTTAGCTATCTCAGCCACTTTCGCGACCGCAGATACATCCGCCTGAAAGATACTGCAGTATTCCGGAAGCTTGAAGAGTTGCCTGAGATCCAGCTCAGCAATAGATTCCGGTTCTCACTCCCTAGCCATTTTTGTTCCGTCTGTATAAATATTGTAAGTTCTTCGGGCGAGTCCACCTCACCTCTAGTGTGACTTGACGCCTTCTTTCCCAAATACAGCGTGAGGGTAGGTGATCTATTTTATTCATCAACATCCTCTTAGTAGAGAATTTACCTAACGCCGCCAACCTTGCAGCTAATTTTGCTGCAGAGCTTTGCATTGCAATGTCAATTGGTGGCAGGTTGAGTAATCTTTCAATTGCAGCCGTTGGAGTAGTTCGTAGTAATTTTGATTTTGTTATTTCGAAAAATTAACATATTCTAAAGCTGTAAAAGTTGGAAAAAGAAATGCAAAAGAAATTTTTTCTTTCGAATTTGTTTTAAATTTATTTTCGAGTTTTTTTCGAAAAAAAAAAACAAATCGAAAAACTTTTTTTTCGAAAAGTTACTGACTTTTCTAATTGCACCTCTAGCTTTGAATACATTGTTTTCTAATTTTGTACAGACTGTACCTTCAATTGGAGTTGTAACTTCTAGTTGTTGCTCCACGATCTTATTGTTTTTATTATAAGTTTTGGGTAACAATTTGAAAAACAAAAAAATTATAGCAATAATAGAGCGCCAAGAACTACTACATATGTTTGTATATATGTTATACCATAAATTTCATAAAAACAAATCTAATCTGCTTCGTTTTATTTATTTCTTATAGGCAAAATTAACGTCTCAAGCGACAAAGTAGTGCTAGAAACAACAAAATAGAGCAAACACTCAAAACTGAAAGTTTGTAGAAGAAATTAGTAGCAAAACAACAACAAGTGTGTGTGCTGAAAAATATGCATAATCCCCAAGAAAGGTAATGCAAAAACGCCAAATCCGCTAAAGTGCTGCCATACTAAAAAAACAACAACAAGAGTGAAAAAAAAATTAAAAGGCCCGCCTGTGTAGAATTTACCTTACCTCAATTATTTGTTTAAGTGTATGTGTGGAGAGATTCGAGATCGAGCGAAAAAGAGAGGGAGAGAGAGACCAACGATCGCGTGAGCATTTGAAAGTGTAGAGAACAACAAAAGATCAGACGGTAAAGGTGAAAGCGGCAAGTGAAATTAAAAAAATAAAACAACAAATACAAAATAAAAAAGAAGATAAATACTTTTATATTAAAAGCAAAAAAAAAAGAACGAATTAGCTTTCGTTGTGTGGTGAGCGGCAAATTGCGCAGTCCGTACACTAACGGACTTACACATAACGAAAATTTGTTGATTACTAAAAGCGGCGACACAAAGCACTTAACCACAGCTAACTATTTCACCAGTAACAACAACCATAGCAGCGCCAACAATAACAACATACAGTGTGACGTGTATAGTGAAAATAGAAACTGAGAGAGTAGAGCGGATGAGTGGCGGAAAAAGCCGGCTGCGGCGGGAGTTTTCAAGTTTTTGAAGATCACAGTTGCAAAATAGACGGTGTAAAGGTTGAACGCGCGTTAAATTTGGTGACGAAAAGTTTTTTGAAGTGTAAAGTGCACTAGTCGAAAATTCGAAATACATTCGAACAACAGGTGTAGTGTATACATAGTGTATAAACACAAAGCGTTGGAAAATTCGCGATTTTAAAGTTTCGAAATTCGAGTTCGAGTTTTCGAAGTATAATTACGAATTTTCGAAATTCAAATAAACTTATTTTCAGCAAATCTGCGTTGTTTATGTGCAATATATAGCAAAGTTTTTAGAAAAATACAACAACAATAACGAGTAAAGCACAATAACTTTGCAATTGGTTTGTGTCGGTATCGCCTGTGTGTGTGTGTGACCCGGTGTCTGTAGGTTTGTGCGCGCTTAAGTGCATGACTGCGTTTGGAAGACGTTTACGAAAAAACAAATCATGGTAGATACCAACAACAAAGCAACGTTGGCGACAACAACTACAGCAACGACAAAGGCAATCACAAGCGCAACAACAGCGAATACAAAGCAGCAACGTCAAACGGTTGGTACAGGTACCGCGGCGTCGTTGAGTCCCATAGGTAGTGCACAGCAGAAACAGCAAAAACAACAACCGCAACAACAAAAACAGGAAAAGTTCGAACAACAGCAAAATATTGTCACAAAGAAGAGCAACAAAAACAAAAATCAGAAAAAGTGTGACAACAAAAGCAATGAAAAACTGAGCAATGATAGAATTGATGACAACTGCAATAACAACAACAACATTAAAGCGGAGCGCAACATTAACGGTGATGTTGGCGCAAAAGAAGATAACAACAACACATTAACAATAAAAACAATTAAGACTGTGTCCACAACAACACCAACAACATCAATCACAACAAGTGCACCAATCATTTCCGCTACAGATGCTGACAGCAAGCAGCCGCTAGAGGTCGGCAGATGCAACAGCGCTGATGATAAAGAAAATGTAAACGACAATGAATGTGCAAATGCTGCGACAGAACGTCAGTTGCCAAGCAAAGTGACAACAAATGGCAAGAACAACAACAACAATAGCGGCAGCAATCGTTACAATAACAACAAAAATACAAAAACACGCAATGCCAAGCAAAAGCCACAAGCAACCGACAAACAAGCTGTTTGCCAAAATAGTCGCAACAACAGCAACAACAACAACGGCGGCAACAGCAAAAACAACAAAAGTCAAAATGGCAAAGATTTTACGAATAGCAAAAACAACAAAAAGACTAATTGGAAGCGTGTTGAGAAGCGTAATAGCATCATTTTCAGCACCAATCATCACTACAGCAACTACAATAGCAATGATAACAGCAAAAACAACACAATTAAAAACAACAAATATCACACACCGAATTCCAATACGCCTAGCATTATGACCGATGACGATGATGATTATCGCGACATAACCGATACCGAGTCGGTGCGTTCCAACGATTGGCCACGCAAATACTCACGTCCACAACAACAACAAAAACAGCAGCAACAGCAAAGTGCTAAAAAACCGAGTGCTAGTGATTTATTGACAGCCGCCCTAATGGTACCCTGTGAGAAGTGCAACAAAGTGAAAGTACAAGTGCAACAACAACAAGGCTCCAATTCGAATATGTCCTCATATTCAACGAGTTTGCGTCAATATCGTAAATCCAAATCGTATATGGGTGAATGTACCGAAGATACAGGTGGTAGTGGACGTAATTCTGTAGCTTCTGTTGAAAATTGGCGTAATCCTAGCGGTAATAGTGGTAAAGCTAATCGCTATCAGCGTTCGTTGAGCGATCGTCGCTCTTCGTTTGATCGCATGTTTGCCGAACGCAATAAGGATTTCGTGCCAATTGTCCAGCCAATCCGTCCAATGCTTGCTTCGTCGAATATTGAATGTGTTCTGACAGATACTGAAAAAATAGTGCTCATCGAACGACTGGGGAAAGGACGTCAGACGTATCCGTTAATGCAGGTGAGTGTTGATATACATATGCATAACTACAGTTATAATTACGGTGATAAAATGTAGCTGATTTGATTTCTAGAACTTGAACTACATATATATAATATCTTAAACTATTTCGTCTTTCTGAAATTGTAAATTCATATGAAAGACTACCAAATCAGCTGACCATTGTACCAACTCATATAATGTTGTCCGTTATAAAAGTGCTACTATTTTCAGAGAGTCTTGATTTCCCTTTACTTATTAGAACGATGCCCGATCTTTAGTCGCACGTGAAATGACTACAAAACTGAATAGAGATGTTAAAGTCCTTTACTGATATAGCCTTATAGGTTTTAGAAATTCTTCTATAACGGCTTACGCGAATTTGATCAAATCCATAAAAACGCCGCATTTGCAAATTGCGTCTTTTTCCTTTTCCACTTGGTCTTTTTGTAGGGAATTTGATAAGATTTGGATCTGCTTACTTCCCTTCCTAATTAATTGATCTAACCTTGGTTAATACCGTTAAACCATAATCGACAGTTATTGTTTCAACATCTTGGAAAATTCTTAAAAAGTTTGGTAGTAAATTGTTGTGGTGAGAGTCCCTAGTCAAATATAAATCCGGATTAGTTTCGGTCTCATATTTTGCCTTTGTTCATTTATCATAAAGATCTTAATAATAAGAGGACTCTTAAAAGTTGTTGGACTTTTTTAAGTAGCAGCACCTATTAAAAGCGCACAAATTTGCTATTCTAGGACCAGCTGGAATATTGGGTTTAACAGGCTTCAGACTTTAGTATTCTCCTAAGCTCCTATAGGGTAATGCCTCCGGTATTTAAAAAAATGTAACCACTTTCAATGAGCCACAGATGCCGTTGTATCAGACAAATAATTTACTATACTTTTGCTCCGCGCCACTAATCAGATGTATCAAATTACCAATCAGCGTTAGGGTCAATTTGGATCTATTTGCTAGATCTCTGGTTTCACCTACCTTCAAGTAGGATAAATATACATTTGAAATCCTTAATCCTGATATCATTTCCTTTTCTCAAGTGATCCCGTGGATATACTTGCAATCAAACGAAAAATTTGTATTTGGGCGTTCGAGAGCGCAAAATTGTTTGATATTTTTCCCCTAAAAGGCTGTGAACCGGTTAGCAACTTATTTGTTGTTCTAGGCTAGCTATTTACTTCATCGATCTTCTAAAAAGTTGTCCACTGTAAGCGATCAATCTTGCCTGCTATAAATTCGAAGGGATGTAACGAATTCTTACTTCGTTTAGACACTGGGCTCAATGGGATTCGTATCAACTCATATTTACCACCCCGGCATTTATAGTGCTAAATGTGTTTATAATAAATTTTACGACAAATTGATGATCGAAAGTTCTTAATACTCAGAAGTGTCAAATTGAAGCTAGCTTTCCGGTGTGCTCTTTAAAGCTTTTACGCCTCTGCGGCTTTGGAAGTCGTGAACTTGTTATACACGAGCATCCATACGGCCTCACCTATCATTGTACTTCCTTATCATTATGAGCTTAATTTTTTTGTGCCGCTAAAGTTCATGACCTCTCAGACCTACAAGTATGCAAATATTATGCTTTATTACATATTTGTACTTGGATACACGCAGAAATACATACATATGTATTGTATGTATGGACATTTACGCAAATTTGAAGCGCAGCTTTTATAGTGCGATTTTTCGCAACAGGTTTAAAAGCGGTTCAACAACATCGCCCATTAATACATATGTACATATACAAGTTTTGGTGGATATGAATATGTTTGTATGTCGAAATATTTGTCTAAAAGGGAGTCATGACGTGAGGCTTAGTGTGCACACGTCAAACGTTTCCATGATAATTAATAGCACAAATTGTATGTCAACTTGTATAACAGTGATTTTGTCGCTATTTTACTTTTTATTTTTTTTGTATTTTCCACTTGATTTTAATATTTTTTGCGTTTGAATCTCACTTTTCCCAGTCGTCTACAACTAGAATATGTGTATATATATAAATTGCTGCTAAGCACTGTTATTTAAATGCTTGACCACGAAACGTTTATTTGAAAATAATAAAAAAATTCAAAAAATGCAAGCAACTTTCATTTTCTAAAAATTGTGATGTGGTGTTCGTTTTCGTAATTTATGAATGGGTGTGCTATAAGATAACCAGTAGCTGTGATTGAAAATGCGAAGAAAAAAAAAGACATTTATTTTATGATATAAAATTCCGGGTGAATGTCTGTCCATCCGTCTGTGCAAGTTGTGGTTTGAAAATCCTTAAAAAGTGAGCGTACTTCCGTTCCCTAATAAGTTTAATATATGTATGCATATACATATCTCACAAGCCACTAACACCAAATTAAAGAAATTTGCTCAGAACAAATCTTTTCGACACCTCCTCCGACAGTGTGAAAATGGGTGAAATAGACCACTTTCCATATAACGGTTATGTTAAAAATATGTCAAAAACATTAAATTTCAATTTCTATGTGATACAGAAGGGTCTCATAGAACTGTTGTAAAAATTGGGAAATAGGCGTGGCAATCATATATCTCTGGACTTACTTAGACCAATTTCAACCAAGTTTGGTTCGTAAGATTACCCCGAAATTCTTATGTTATGTTGTGAAAATGGGCGAAATCGAAGTACAATCACGCCTACTCCTCAAACATATATTCCATCTGATTCTTTCACTCACAGTGTAAAAGTCGAGAGCCAACCATTTTATCGAACACACTATGCACAAAGTGTATTTAAGGTATGCCATCGTCTAAAAATTCTCAAAATCGGACCATATCGGATTATGCCTTCATGTATCGAATATGTGACCCCAAAGCCTACTTTCTCACTTTTTACCGAAAATAGCGATCAATTTGTGAGATCTATTTTTGAAATTTGGAGAGCGTGCTTTTATGATAAATACAAGTTGTGTGCCCTTGTGTGAAAAATTGGTACAATCATGTCAATAATTCTCTTTGATCACATACACCTAGTATAGATATTTTCCTCTTCATTTGTCGGAACCGCCGATATCGGACCACTATAGCATATAACTGCCACACAAACTGAATGATAGGAATCAGAATAAAGATATTTTTATACTATAAAAAACGAAGGGTGAAGGATATTATATCTTCATTGGAGCCGAAGTTAACGTTTTTTCTTGTTTTTAACTTTTTTTGGTAATTTATTTTGATTTCTTTCTTTCATTTATATACATATTTTTATTTGTTTTTTTTTTTGATATTTTTATTCGACAATTATTTTAATCTTTTCTTAAAATATAAATTTTTTTATTTTTATAATTTTTTTTTTGTTGTTTTTAATATTATTTGGTGATTTCTTACATTTTTTAAATTTTTTTATTTAATTATATTTGTTTTTATTTTTTAAAATTAGTATTACTTTCATATTTTTTCTATTTCCATACATATTTTTACATAATATCTCTTTTTATTATAATAATAATATTATCTTTCTTTATTATATTTTTGGCTGATTTTTTATTTTTTGTTATATTAAATATTTCTTAATTTTTTTTATTTTATATTATATTATATACTTTTTTAAATTTTTTATTTAATTATATTTTTTTTTTTTATGTTTTATTAATTAGTTTTTAACTAATTTTATTTGTTTTTATATTTTTAAATAAATTTTCTATGTTTTATTTCTTTTTTGCAATTGTTATTACTTTTGTTTTTGTTCAATTAATTAATATGAATAAATATATTTGACAATTACTATATCGTTTTGATTATTTTATTAACATTTTTTTTTCGAAATTTTTTATTTTATTTTAATTTTATTTATATATCTCTCTTTATTTATGTTCATTGAATTTTTTTTAGTCTTTTGGTTCTATTTTCTTCAATTATTATGTTTTTTTTTTCATTGTTTCATTTTATTACTGTTAGTTTTGCGCCAACACTCATTTGTCAGCGCTTCCCTAACTCGTTTATGTTCGATTCAACACGTGCTGCAGACGTTCAAGTCGGTCTGTTACTAATTAAACCACTTTCGGTTTTAATAACTAAGAATCATTAGCATAAATCGGCGATAATCAATATATTTTATCTAGACATTAGTATGAAATCGAGAAATATAACAACAAAAATATTCTCAAGGCCTTTCATAGTATACTCACGATAAGCTGAATTCCTAATACAAATACACAATCATAAATATGTATATTACGTATATACATTTGTAGAGAATTGTCGTAAATACAAACATTTGAACAACAAATTTGAACCGTTGAAATAATCGCCGTAGACTAGTTTATGATTTGAAATTAACAAAGTGTTATTATTTAAATGCCCGCTAAGACCAGCCCGCAAACAAAATTCACTTGTTTAGAATTGAATATAAATTTGCTAGCATACCCTGTAGGAAATACAGGCGAATCGTCTAATCTTTTAACATCTGTTAAACTCTTTTGGAGTAATTTACATTTTTTGCTCTCAGAGACAAGGGTATCTAAAACGCTCTCAGTGAATTGTGATGTCAAATTGCTCTCAGGATTTCTCCTAGCCTTTTAAGCATTTTGTATAACGAAATACAATTAGCTCAAATGAAATTTTCTAAATTTCGTATGCCAAAAAATTAGCACAAGGAAGAAACATATTTACAGCTGTGTTCACAAAAATAGCAGTGCGAGAAATGCAATCAAGTAATATTATTTTTTTTCAAGTTCCGTTACGATTATTCCAACGTGTACGCATTGTTGTTGTAGAATGGAATGTGTATAAGGAAGAAACGAAAAAATCCCGTTAGATTTGCGAGATTTAAGCAAATGAACAACTCTTTTTGCTAGAAGCAGTGCGTATCTTCATAAGCCAAAAAAATTTTGTTAAGACGTTTAATTGATAAAAAGTAAGTGGTTTTGTGTTAGTGACTATTATTAACATTAGAAAACAGTAAAATAAATTTATATTTTTTAACTTAGTGGGCAGGGGCAAACATTGTACTCCTGAAAAAAGAAATATTATAGTGCAACTAAGAAAC